ACTAAATTCAACAGTTGAAACTTAAAAATTGACAAATTGTGTTCAAAAATTCTTTCTGTAAGAGACAATGTTTAAGATCATATAATGGTTAGAAGTAAAAGAAAATAAAACAGAATGTAAAGTATGGTAAATACTAATAAAAGAAAGTGATGCTATGTTAGTATAAAATGAAATAGATTTTAAGACAAAAATGTATTGTTTAGGGATAGAGAAGGTCACTACATTATTATAAAGTGTTCAATTTACAAGACAGAAATTTATACATGATGCTTCTAATAATATAGCCTCTAAACATACAGAGTAAAAACTGATAGAAATACCAGGTAAGATTGGATACTGATTATACACAGATTCAGTAATTAGAGATTCTACAAATATCATATGCTAGGTCATAAAGCAAGTCTCAAAATTCCAAAAAATATGTATTACCAGACCATGATCTGACTATAACATACTTAATATAGAAGTTAATACAAAAATATAAATAAAAAATATCATATTTGGACATTTAAAGATGCACTGCTAAGTATTCAGAATTAGAGAAAATATTATAAGGAAATGTACAGAATACCTAAAACTGAATGACAGTGAAAACATTAGACATTAAAAACTATGATGAGCAGAAGTGGTGCTTCAAGGGAAATTTATTGGGTGCATATAAATAACATAATAAAAAAATACTTACTTATACTCTAAGAAGGTTTTCTCAAATGCAGACAAAACAATATCCAACTCCATGATTTCACTGGTTTTCCTTCCCTCTACACACCAAAGAAATGTACTGTTGGAAATATCACTATCTAGAATGTTGAAATAAATCAATTTTATTTACAGATTATTCACAATTTGGCTTCAGTCTAGGGTTCTGAAAGCCTACAACAAAAATAGTCCCACCAAATTGCTAAAGACCTATAGCCAAAGAAGCCTATAAGACAAAACCATCCCAGCACATAATCTCACAGGCTCCCATCTTCTCTATCAGTGTAACTTCTGGCTCCGTGGCTCTCCTACGGTCCTTGCGGAAACAGGCCAAAACACTGCTGCCCTTTATTGACCTTGCTGGACTTTTATATACTAGTCTGCTGTTGCTCAGTACTACTGGTGATACAGCTCTTCTTCGTTAACTGTATTTTCTGAATTTTAATCTACCTGACAGGCTACTTCTAGAATACATCAAGATTACTTGATTAATTTAAATAGGTATAGTAATATATGGAAATATACTGGACTAGGAGTTTGAAGACCTAGGTTCTAGTTTGAGCTTCTTTACTTACTAGTCATAGATAGTCAGACAGATTATTTAACCTTCAAAAGCCCCAGCTTCCTCAGAGGTAAAATGGAAGAAAAAGATCTCATGTTCTTCCTTTTATGTTTGTTGTGAGACTCTGGCAAGAAAACATCTGTAAACATATTTCTCAAAACTATAAATTACTATACATTTGTAAGGTGCTATTATCAATTTCTAATTAATACCCAAATCATCTTCTGTATGATGTTAACAAAAGGCATTGACAGGACAGCCCACTCTTTTCCTATGGCTAATTACTTATTTAATATCTCAAAACTGATGAGCATACTGATTGAAACTTCATCCCTGATTCCTATCTGAACTCAATTCCTGGCTGAGGTAGATTAACAACAGCCATAAAGTCTATGCTGCGCCTCCCTATTTCCCTTCCCCTTCAATCTGGGCTGGCCCTAAGACTAGAATATGATGGAATGACATCATGCAACTTCCAAGGCCAAGTCTCAAGAGATCTGCAGCCTCTGCTTTTTGCCTCCTTAAATGCTCCCTCTTAGAACTCAGCTGTCAAGTCAAATTCTGACTCCCAAACAATAAGAGAGCCTAAGCTAGCCACATGGACAAAGAGGTCATATGGAGGAGTACCAAGGAATCAGACATCTGAATGGAGCCTTCTCAGACCTTCCACACCAGTTCAGCCACCAACTGAATGCCACCAAATAAGCAGAATCAAAATTGTAAACAAATTAAGTAGTTGTTTTTTTAAGTTAGAGACAGATAATAAATATTTTTAGTGTTATGGACCAACTACGCAACTCTCTCACTGAAGCACAAAAGCAGCCATAGACATTATATAAAAAATTAATATAGCCATGGCACAGTTTTTCAAACAGGCAATGAGCCAAATACGGACTACAGGCCATAGTTTTCTGATCTTTATTTTAAATCACTGTTTTAGGATAGTTTATTAGACATCAATAGATACATAAAACATGGCTCAACCTACTTAAGGCTGTGCAACTTCAGACAAGTTTTTGAGCAAAGTCTCAGTTGCCTCATCTGTAAAAATGGGAAAAATAATAGTATTTATTAGAAGGATTAAGGCGCTCTGGTGGCATAGTGCCTAAAGCATTTGACTGCTAACCAGAAGGTTGGCAGTTCAAACCCACCAGCCACTCGCAGAAGGAAGATGGGGCAATATACTTCCATAAAGATTTACTACCTCAGAAACCCAACGGGGGTTGCTATGAGTTAGAATCAACTCAATGGCAGTGAGTTTGGGTTTTATTTTGTTGTTGTTGTTTATTAGAAGAATTAAAGAGAGGATAGTATTAAACACTTTATACAATGTTTGGCACATAATAAATCCTCTATTCTTTTGTTACTATCAATTTGTATAAAGAAACAGGAACAGGAGCTAACAAGGTGTGAATTGACTTGGAAGAGGTATGAGGGAAATTTCTCAATGATAGGAAGGGTCTGTATCTTGATAGGACTTTGAGTTATATAGGTGTTTGCATTTCCCAACACTCAGTGGGAAAGGGCGAGGCACTTCAATGTACGTAAAGAATACATATTGAACATACTGTAAACAAGCAGTAAAGTTTAGTTAAGTGATGTGCATACTGAAGGATTTCAGAGGAAGTGCACTGATGCCTGCAATTTATTTTTAAATGCATCAAAATTTAAAATGGATAATAGATAGATAGGTGATAAAGCAAGAATAATAAAATGTTAATAGTATAATCTAGGCGCTCTGGTGGCATAGTGCCTAAGCCATTTGACTGCTGTCCAGAAGGTTGGTGGTTCAACCCACCAGCCACTCCTTGGAAGGAAGATTGGACAATCTACTTCTGTAGAGATACCACCTCGGAAACCCAAGGAGGGATTGCTGTGAGTCAGGATCGACTCCACAGCAGTAAGTTTTGTTTTTGTTTGGTTACTATAATTTAGGTGATGGGCACAGTGTATTATCCACTGTAAAATTCTTTCATCTTTGCTATATGTTGAACATGTTCATGATAAAACATTGGGAAAAAATCAGTTACTCCAAAGCCACCATGCCTAAATTTTAAAAAGTGGCAGTTTTATATATTTACAATTTACTACATAAACAAATTAAGATACAAGTTTAAAAAATATTTTTAAAAAAAAAATGAATCAGAGAAACGAGTATAAGATACCGTTCTGTACCTGAGTCTACATCTTTACTTCTTGATTTCTTCCCTTTGCCACGAGACTTCGTTCCCTTTTTCTGAGCTTTCTACCAAAAAAAAAAAAAAAACCAGGGTTTTATTTGAGAAAAGTTTTTTTTTTTTTCCTTAAAAAATAATGATTTAGCTCTCAAGTCCTTGCTTCCCAAGATGGGAAAGAAAAGGAGAAACAATGGTTGTGCAAAGAAGGGCTATGGCCATTTGCAGCCTATTTGTGGCCCAAAGTGTGCTCTCTGTGTGCCCAAAGACAAGGGAACGAAGAAGTTCATAATTCGAAATATATTAGAAACCGCAGCCATCAGGGACATTTCTGAAGTGAGTGCCTTCAAAGCATATGTGCTTCCCAAGCTGTACATGAAATTACATTATTGTGAGTTGTGCCATTCACAGCAAGGTGGTCAGGAACTGTTCTCAAGAAGCCCAGAAGGATGAAACACCCCCACCCCAATTTAGAACTTCAGGCACTGCCCCACGACCCCCACCAAAGCCCATGTAAGGATTTGAGTCCCTAAAGGCTGAAGGAAAACTAACCTGAGAAAATAAAATGGAAATTATACTTAAAAAAAATCAAACAAACATAATGATTAAGAAGACAGTATATTTTAGCTATAATTCTCATTCTAAATTAATATATTAGATTATGTAGCTTACCTAAATTAATATAAGGAAACACTACAAAAATTAAATAACATTGTTAAAAAATAAAAAGTAAATAAAACATTGGCTTATATAAACACTTTCTTGGAAGGAAGGTGAATTTTTATTTTTTAAGTTCAAATTTCTGTGCCCAGAAATGATAAAATAACAGCTTCTAGATTTGTTCTTTTGCCATAAACAACTATAAAACTGGGTGTGTGATGGCTAACTTTATGTGTAACTTGGCTAGGCTATGATCTCCAATTGTTCACATATTAGTCTATATATTGCTGTAAAGGTATTTAGATATGGTTAACATCTGTAATCAATTGTCTTTAAGTAAGGTAGATTATCCTCCATAAAGTGAGTAGGCCTCATCCAATCAGTTAAAGGCTTTAAGAGCAAAAACTGAGGTTTACCAAAGGAGATGAATTCTGCCTCAAGACTGTAACAAGGTATCAGGCTGGAGTTTCCAGCCTGCTTGGCCCACAGATTTCAGGCTCAAGTCTGCTGGAGTTTCCAGCCTTCCACATGCCCTATGGATCCTGGACTTGCAATGCAAGCCTCATAATTGCTTAAGCCAATTCCTTAAAATAAATCTCTCCACACACACATACTGTATATATACATACATATATGTGTGTATATACCTATGTGTGTGTATATCTATATATATACATATATGTATACCTACATATATATGTGTATATATATATTATATACATATATACACACACACATACATATGCTATTGGTTCTGCTTCTCTGGAGAATGCTAATACAGGGGGGAAATACAGTATCAAACAACAAGCAACACAAGACTGAAAAGCTAAACACTATGAATGACCTTTCTCTTTGTCTGGTGACAATTTCCTGATAGCAGCACAGAAACCTGGAGTCCAAGCAGAGCATGGTGATCATCCTCACCTGACAATCAGCTGAGGAGCTGCTCAAGCAGCTGAAGTAGTTGGAATAAGCGCATCCGAAGTCTGTGTGGGGTTTCCCAAACATCCCTAACTGACCACTGAGTTGTACACATGAGGTGAGGGTAAGACTACATAAAGTTTACCAGAAAGTGTCTACCATGGAATTGAAAACAGAACAGATTAACAGAGGACAAGCAGGGTTGGGCGACACAGGGTGCAGCAAATGCACAGACCTCCTTAACACCTTGTTAATGCCTGTCTACTCAGCTGAGCTAGTAGAAAGGTCCCATTTTAGGAGTAAGGACCATACCCTAGAACATGCAATCTCCACAGGGACAATACTGCTTCCAAGGGGGCAAAAACTGGTTCTTGGAGGGGGGCAGGGGTGCCAAAAATAGTAGTCTATCATATGTCTCATCCAGTATTTCACGAGATCCATTCTAACAAGGCTTACAGCCAGTCTCTGAGAAGATCTGCCAGGCAGATGGAGACTGGAGGTTGCAGCAGGCAGAATTCTAAGATGACCCCCAATAAATTATACAGTTCTCTCCCCCTTGAGTACAGGTGGTACCTGTGAGAGAAATGAGATAGTTCTCCTTGATTAGGTTACATTATATAAGACTTTGTTGTAGCAGACTGAAGAGATTTTCCTTCTGGCTTTGAAGAAGTAAGCAGCCATAATGTGAGAGGGTCATGTGGCTATGATTTGAAGTCAACCTCTAAGAGACAAGAGCTACCCTAAGCTAACAGCTAAGGAGAAAACAAGGACCTTTGTTCTACGGCTGAAAGGAACTGAATTCTACCAACCACCTGAACAATCTTAGAAGAGGATCCAAAGTTCAGACAAGATTTCAGTGCTGGCTAGCATCTTGATTTCAGTTATGAGATCCTGAACAGATAATCCAGCTAAGCTCAAGACTTCTGACCTAAAAATCTGTGAGAAAATGTATGGTGTTTTAAGCCAGTAAGTTTGGGGTATTTTTTTACGCAGCAAAGGAAAACTAATACAGAAGCTGAGCCCCACTGAGTTAGAGAAGCTATCAAATAAACATGTTAAGCTTTCCCCAGATTGATCATAACAAAGGATGAAACCAAGTCTAGAGAAGTTCAAGATGATCAGACAATAATTAAACTACCACTACTCACACAATTAACAAGTATTAGATTGAAAGTGTTACACAAGGAAAATGTGACCCATACTCAAAAAAAAGAGAGGAAAAAAAAAAAGCAGTTAATAGAAACTGACCCCAAAATGGCACAGATCTGGCAGTTAGAAGTCAAAAAGACTTTAAAGCAGCTATTATAAACATGTTCAAAGAAGGAAGGAAACAACGGTCTTAATGACATTAAGACATAAAAATCTCAGCAGAGAAACATAAACTATTGAAAGAGAACCAAGTGGAAATTCTAGAACTAAAAAGTACTTAACTGAGAAGAGCCACTGGATGGTGTATGGGTTTCCTGTGGCTTCTCTAGCAAATTACCACAAACTTGGTGGCTTAAAACAAGAAAAATGTATTCTCTCACAGATTTGGAGTTCAGAAGTCTAAAACCAGGTTCAGTAGGCTAAAAATAAGGTGTCAACAGGATCACACATCCTATGGGAACTCTAGAAGAAAATCCATTCCTTGTATCTTTTAGTTCCTGGTGGCAGTGTCATTCCTTGGCTTGTGGCCATTATCATGTCAATCTTTGCCTTTGTCTCTGTGTCTCTCATCTCTCTGACTCTCTCTTATAAGGATACTTGTGGTGGCATGTAGAGCCCACCCATATAACCCAGGATCATCTTCTCATCTCAAAATCTTTAACTTAATCAAATCTGCAAAGATCCTTTTCCAAAACAACATTTATAGATTCCAGGAATTAAGATCTGGACATATCTTTGGTGGTGGTGGGCAGGGGTGGGGGTGAGGGTCAACACTCAGCCCACTAAAGATAAGTTAAACAGTAGATTGTAAAGGGCAAACTATCTTTTAAAAGCACTGAAGAAAAGAGAGAAAATGTTCCCAAACATTGTCAGTAAACTTTTTTTTCCTCTCTCCAAAAGGATGGCAGGCACTCTCTTACCTGTTGACTTTCTGTTACATGGATCTCTTTTTCAGAACTCTTTTTTAGAGCATTAAGTGGTCCTTTTTTTTTAGGAGTGACTGATTTAGCTGGTTTCTCTGAACGCTCCAAAGATGCCATAACTGGAATATTCACTGCTTCCATGAATTCACACTGCTGTGTACTTATTTTCTCGGCTGGTTTATCTTTTCTTGTTACATCGCTTTTTTCAGTGTTTTCAGATTCATCAATAATGGGTGTGAGTGTCCCTCGTAGCTATGTCAAGAAAACAGCATTATTGGTTAGAAAATGCAAATGCTTAAAATTCTTAATAGGTAAATAACCATAAAGTCCACACTTCTCATTTCTAAACTTCAATATTAAAGATGATGGGAACATAATCTCCCTATTCTGAAGATGGCAACAGGATGGAAAACCTGGATTAAGAAGCTCCAAATAAATATTCCTAACAGTTCATTCTTCCTTTATACATCATGACCTAACTATATTAAAGAATGCTATGAAAGCTGACAAGGCACATAGACATTCGAGCAAGACCTCTTCAATAAGAAACACTTTCAGATGTAAAAGATTCCGTTTTTATCATGAAACACAATGCTCTTTTGCTATGAAAAAAGTCGCTACAGAAAATTTTCTGTTTGTATCTAATCTGAAACAGGGTATAAAATTATCTTAAAAATTAAGGGAGAATAGAAAACATTTCTACATACCTCTTGTGCATGATTTTTTACAGAGTTGCTCTTACTTGCTTCATATTCAGAAGTGTTCAAACTGTACCAAAGAACAAGCCATCAATATCTTGCACACACTACATTTTTATTCACAAACGTCTTCTAATAAGTACTCATCTAAGATGAAAATAGGCTCAATTTAATGAGGTAACTCCATACTTCAGTGAGCTCTGGGTAGATGGATCAGAGGAAAGAGGGTAATTCAGAAGACAAGGAGACAGGTAGTAAACTACTTCAGGAACGCTAGTGGAGAGTGGTAAGTGTACAAACTACTGCTGCTGCAGGAAGGTAGCCGGGCACAGAGAGGATAAAATTAGATTCTTCAGACAGTCACAGGCCAGAACCAATATGATTTGTAAACTATTTTTTCCTAGGGCATGTCAGAAAAAAACATACCAGGAATGAGTCCCAGATTTCTGGACTTTGGGTGACTGGGTGGAGAGCAGGACCATTAACCTAGAAAGTAACAAAGGAGCTTTTTGACACTGGATGAGGGAGAAAAGGATTGAGCTCTGTTGAGTCCAAGGCACCTGTGGACATCTAGAGGAATATGACCAATAGGCAGCACATCTTGGGACTCAATAGAAAAGGTGAACAAAAGAGATATGGAAGCAGCAGCATATAGTTAAAACCATTGGGAGTAAAATTGGGAGTGTGGGATCTGGAGAGGAGAGAGTTAAAAGCAAAGAGAAGACAGAGGGAAAGATGCAGAAACTAAGAACTGAACATCCCTGGTGAGGAATTTGAGAGTTGGATGCTAATGTCTCCAAGAGTCCTGGGAAATGTTGCTAGTCAATCTTTCTCTCCTCCCACCCAGTGCATCCCTTCTGCCCTGACTTCCTTTTGTATCCATACACAAATCTTGTTTAAGTTACCCAAATGATATCTTTTGTTTCGACTGATTACTCCACCAAAACATCTTTCACCAAGGTTACCAAGAACATCCATGTAGTTAAATGCAATGGGTATGTTCAGTCCTTCCTCGACTTCTCAGCTGCATTTGATGACCCTCCTGACTACTCTCAAAAGAAGCTCTAGAGGAGCAGTGGTTATGTGCTCAGCTGCTAACCAACAAGTCAGCAGTGCAAACCCACCAGCCACTCTATGGGAGAAAAATGTGGTAGTCTGCTTTGATAAAGATTAGCAGCCTTGGAAACTCTATGAGGCAGTTCTATTCTGTCCTATAGAGTTACTATGAATTGGAACCAACTCTATGGCAACGGAAAAGGGATTACTCTCATATGTCCCTTTATTTCTGTGAGCAAACTTTTTGGCTTTCTTTCTTACTCTCTGATCACATTTTTCTTCTCCTTTACTGACTCCTTCTTCTCTGCCCAGTTAGTAGATGTAGGAGTTTCTAAGGGTTGGTCTCAGGCTCTTGTCTTCTCTTAGGCTGTACTAGCTACCTGTACGATCTCATTCTTGCCCATAGCTTCATACCACCTGTATGCAAATAACTTTAAGTTTTAAATCCAGCTCAGTCCTATCCTCTAAATTCTAGGCCCACATACACAACTTACACCTTAACATCATCATACCAAACCCAAGATGACCCCCGAAAACTCAGTCTTTTTCCAGCAATCCATCTCAGTCAATGGCACCACCATCATCCATTTAGACATGCCGGAAACCAAGGAATTATCCTTAACAGAAACTCTTCCCCATTCTCTACTCTACTAAATCCAACCCATCTCTAAACCCTGTTGATTTGCTTCCGATTTCTTGAATCCATCCACTTCTCTCTATCACTGTCACCATTACCCTAGTCTTCCCTGCTTCCAAACTGGTCCACTCATTCCATTCTTGCCTCTCTCAAATCTATTTTCCACACAGCAGCTATGCAAATATAACCGTGTTACCTCCTGCTTAAAATTCTACAACTGCTCTTAGGATAGTAACAAAACTTACCATATTTTTATTATATATGGCTGCAAACAATAGAAAACTCCTTTGCACAAATGGCTTCAACTAGATACTTTATTTTCTTCTCAGTAATACTCTAGAGGGAATTCAGGACCGGAATGGCAGCTGCATCATCATTAGACACTCAAGCTGCTTTCATCTTATAGCTCCATTTTCTCAGTATGCTGCTTCCTGGTCTATTAACTCAGTTAACAACTGATTGAATCACTGAGTATAAATGAATCCATCATGCCCCTCCTCCCTTCCTGAAGTTACTTGCCAGGGTGTGGAGTTCTGGGGACTCTCACTATAGCTGTATATGTTAAAGTGTTGCCTGGCTATACTGGAAAACAAAGGTGCCTTCATTGCTCAAGAATTCCAAGGATTACTTTCAGAAACCAGAGACAAAAGGCCAGAACTAGACTGAGAGAGTATTTTTTGACATCTAACATTGGCAAAATCCACAAGTTTGATTAACACTGTGGTATCAAGATTGAACAGCAAACAAGCACTCTATATTGCCAGTGGAATTATGTTGTTGCTAGTTGTTCTTGAGTTGATGCTGGTGATAGCAGAAGTCTGGGAACAACCCAACTGCCATTGATATGGGACTAGGTAAATAAATTACAAGGTATCTCTGGTGGCACAAATGATTTAACCAAAAAGTTGGTTGTTTGAACCCATCCAGAGGTGCCTCAGAATATACACACAGCCTTGCAAACTCTAGGGAGCAGTTGTACTTTACACACATGAAGTCGCCATGAGTAGGAATTGACTCAGTGGCAACCAACAGTAACAAACTGTCATCTAAATGATCCAGGACATTTATAGCAAAAGTAGTTTTTGCTTAACTTGTTCTCTGAAAATGTTTACGATAAACCACTTGGTTTGCACAGACTGGCTCCGACATGTCTAAAGATTAACTGCTTCATGGAAAAACAAGTTATTCTGAAATGTTAATGGTCTTTCAACTAAATTTTGAGGTCTTATGATAACCTTGTGACTGATTATATAAAGCCATATAAATAAATATCAGCCAATCAGAAAAACTGCCTGTTAGTTCCTGATACTTCTGTAATTAAGCACCTTCAAAAATCTAGTTAGTTGGAGCACGTTCTATTTTTTACTTAGGTGCTGCCCAGCTATAGCTGTTCTATTCCAATAAAACTCTTTCCTGCTCATAACATAGAAAGAATTTTGTTTTTCAACCACATATCTGGAATTAGAAGTGGAGTTTTCAAGGTGTATTATCTCCAATGACTCTGGGATATTGAGGACTTGGGCTCTGGTACCAGCTGAGCTATTTAGGCTCTCTGCCTCCACGACTTCTCAGGAGTTGTTTCAAGGTAAATAACCTTTCGAGTTAGAGCTCTCTCTGTTCTCTTTTTTGTTGATGGCTCTTTGAGTTTTATCAAAAGATCTGTTTCTGTTCTAAGGGAGAACAGAAAAAGTTAAAAGTAAGTTTTATTACCTTTCTCGAAAATGGAGAATACCTTATTTAGGGGCAACTTAGAGCAGCCCTCTGAAACTCCAGCTCACTACATGAACAAACTCTCTGGTCTTTTTAAAAGTGTACATTTCTGTCTGTTTGACATCACCTTACTAAAAATAGCCCTGAAAATCAGTGGCCACTTTGGGATTCTTTCAGTCTTCTGCACATTAAGTTAGAGGACTTTTGAGTACTTTCAAATTAAATAAATTAGCATATTTGAGATCTAAAATAGGAGACTAGATCTCTAGCTGGCAAAATGAATTAGGTTCAGGAGGAATTAAATCAGATTTCAAATAGATGTTACAAAGGAATCTTAGAGTGTTTAAGCCACAAAAACTATGGGCACCTAGGGTGCTCACCACCAACAGAAAGACACCTCTGAAAGGATAAACTGACACATGAGATGGGTCAGAGCATTAGGCTGCCCACCAGCTGCAAGACAACTCTCAGGCAATGAAAGCACTCTAAGAAACAAAACACTGAGCAAACCCCATGGAAGACTTCCTGCTGGAATTTTTTTTTTACTCAGAGGGATGTCAAAGTTTCAATCTAAATATCCTTAATAAATGAGCCTGGATTTATTTTTTCTTAAATTAAAAAAAAAAAAAAAACACTGCATAACGTGGATGAACTTGGGAGGACATTATGCTGAGTGAAATAAGTCAATCACAAAAGGACAAATATTGTATTAGTCCGTTATTGTAAAAGTTAAGGAAAGGTTTATCTATAG